CTGCCTCATAAGCGCAAGGTCCCAAGTTCGATCCCCGGTAGAAAAAAAAAAAAAAAAAGGGTGCAATCACTAAGCCACCAAAATATAATGTCTCCAACAGAGTGGCTCTGTATGTGTAACCCTAGCGCTGGTCCCAACTTTGAAAACATTACTCAGTTTCTACATATGAGCCATCTTTCCTCAATGAATAATTGGTGTTCTATAAATCTAGATGAACTAGTTTGAAATTGAAATAAAAATATGTACCTTAAGATACCAACCATTTTCTCATCAGTAGAGACTGAGTTGCTGTCTAGGGATCTCAGCCAGATTATTACAGTGGGAGCAGAGGCAGGGACTGAGCCTCTTACCTGCTTTCAAGGTCCTTGGTCAGGTCAGGCTGTTCCACGTCTCCCCCCAACTTTGTCCAGGGAAACCATTCTCACTGCAAGGAGGGTGTGCAAGAAGGTTGTGAGTGCTCAGCTTCAAAACCGAGAATTCCTGGAAACATTGGGAGTGTGTACAAGCCAGGAGGCTACTGATAATTTCGATGTGGGAAGTTGGAGTCTCTTCTTTCTACTCTAATAACCATTATTCTACTTACAAAACATGTTTTCTTTCGAATTCTTCTAGTGACTTTTTATGCGGTTGTATCAGCCTAGTATTACCAATACATGATTTTTGTATTTTAAAAATAATCGGTAATCTAACCTGGCCATGGTAGTATACACCTATAATCCCAACACTCTGGGAGGCTGTGGCAGGAGGTTCTCAAGTTCAAGCTCATCCTGGGCAACTTAGTGAAACTTGCTCCAAAATAAAATTTTAAAAAGCTAGGGGTGTAGCTTCATGCAAGGCTCTGGGTTAATTCCCCAGTAGTTAAAAAGGAAAAAAAAACCCCGTAGCTATCTAAAGATCTCAATATTTAAGTTCGCATCTATGTGTCTATTTACCTCCCCATCTCCTTTGCTCCCACATTCTTTCCTCCTTCACCCATTTTGGGTCCTTTGGCCAAAAACATGTTTCGCGTTTATTCCTTGTTGCTTCTGTTTGTGTCATTTGCTCTCATCTAAGTTAGATTAGGCAACACAAGTATCTATCAGCATTTGTAGCATTTCTTTTCTTTACCATTAGAGAGATGTAATTATTTGCACTGAATACCATTTTATTAAACAAAGAGGAAGGGTAGCTAATTCTGCTATTTTAAAAGTGTCTTAAACTAATTAATACTATACTCTTTTGGGATGATTTCACAGATTTATCTTGTGTTGTTATATTGTAAAAATATGAATACAATTTTAATATGAATCAGAGTAATAAATGAATAAGTAAAATAAAACTTTACCCAGCTTCTCTTTTAAAAGTATGTATGTGAGTGGGATGTTCTTGGGCTTTGTAGTTCTTATTTGTGCTGAGGATACTTACAGTTCTGAAGTACTGTATTTCTTTATCCATTCATCTGTTGATGGATATATAGGTCACTTCCAAGATTTCTTTATAATGATTGTGCTGCTATATACTTAGGTATGCATGTATTGCTGTAATATAACATCTCCAGATACACAAGCATAAATATTGCATGGTTTCTCTTATATGAGAAAGACAAAGTATAATAATATAAAGAGGAAAATAAAGGATGGATAATAAGAATAAGGGTGATAAATCTTTCCCATATGGGAAAGGAATCTAGAGATGAAGGGAGGGGGTGTGAAGAGCAGGGAAGGGGAAGTAAAAAGAATTAAGATGTGTTATGTACATGTACCAACTCCCCATATGAGCATAATCATTATGCATTGTGAACATGTACTTATAAAAATAATAAATAAAGTACTGTATTTTTGAATTGGTTTATTCTTCCTTCAGTTTGGTCATAGTTTGTTGCCTTATTAGTACGAAATAAGTTCTCACTATGGATGAATGACAGTATTGGTTAAAGTGAAAGCTCAGTATCAGTGTCTTACAGGATAAAGGGAATGCACACATGACTTTGGTCTTTTGGGGTTGTTCTTACAGAATCTACTACAATGATATTTGCCTTTAATATGTAGATCTAGATATTTTTTTAAAATGTCAGTTAAATATGTTTGCCTTATTAGTCCCATTTTAAATTTATATGTGTATGAGACTCAGAAAAACTTAGTTTTAAAACTAGTTTTGTTATGGAATTTATAACAGAGTGTTATTGAATAAATGTTATAGAATGAGTATTATTGTAAAAAGCAGGCAAATTAATAGGACGCAGCTATTCTCAAGACAAAGGGAAAAGATCTGACTGCTTTCATATTTGCATTAACATTTGCTGGTTGTGGTAGTGTAGAAATACAGCCAAACACATCCACCTCTGGCAGTATTCAGATCCGTGGATATTGACCTCGAGCTCCAGAATTTAGCATCCATTTGATGTCATCCAAGGTTCTTCAGTTAAATATACCTCATGCTCTTTCCCTTCCTCTCACCATTGATTTAGTAGATTTGGATAACCTTGTAAAATGTGGGCCAAATTTTTTCTTATGTGGAAAACACTGCATTTCTATCTCTTGATAGATAATTTTTATTAGTTAAAAGAGGATGATAAAAAGCATAGGTGAGCAAAAGCTATTTTATAGCTTTCTATGTAATTAATATAAATGCAATATTTTTTACAAAATTACTTATACTACAAATGCCAAGAGGTGGTGGTTGGTAAGGGATATTTAGTCTTCTAATGCTAACTTGGCTTCAAGATCTGCCCCTTCACCCTCCCCACCAATCAGATCACTGCCTCTTACCACACCTGTATGAAATCTGAGTAGTCTCTGCCACTGATTCTTCTGTCATCACTTTTAAATTTTAACCAGGCTTTAGGAATTCTTTACGAATAAGCAAGCAATCCAGATAGATTTTACAGAGGGAAATGGTTGTTAGTAAAATTTTCATGTTTTAATCATAGGTAACATTTTATACTATTTGGAAAAGATTTGATGTATAATTACAAAGATTATTTTAAAGATGCAATTAAATGTACTTTAAAATGGTGAAAGTTCAGCAGTAAAAATAAATGCTGTTGGAACCAGACTTCCAGGCTCATAGTGAGAAGATGACCAGGCCTTGTACTTGGGCGCCCCAGATTCTAATGCCACCTCCTTCCTTGAAACTCCTTGTAACTTGTAATGTCATTTATGTCCAAACTAATACCCAACATTAACTTCATAGGCTCGAATGGATTTGTCAGAACCTAGCATAGTAGTTGCTTAATGCCAAGGACCAGCTACAGACAACACACTTTCAATGAACCTGTACTAATTTATATTTTGGTCACCTTTAAACCACCAGTGGCCATTTAGACATGTTGAGGAAACTTTTCTATGTGCATGTTCATAAGGTATATAGACAGTAGTGTCTATGAAGAATAAAAATTAACAATTATAAGTTATTCCTCACTCACTAAATAAGCAAAGTTCATTTCTTTTCCACCCTAAGAAACTATACCTGAGATATAGCCTAGGGTCCAGGCAGTGAGAAACAGGTTCACCCATTGCCCTGCCACTGGAACACGCAATCTTAGGTTGACCAGTCAGCCAACCAGCCAACTTTGAGTATACACATTTTTGGCTCTACTCCTAGACCCATTCCACATCAGGCTTCTCATCTGTCAGTGGTAAAGCTATTACTTCTGTCTATCTCACAACTGATATTATACAAGACAAATACAATACAAAATGTGAAAATGCTCCTCAAATCTGTGTGTCGGTAAATATTTTGCTACAGTACAAATGTTTTGCTACATTTTACCAATAAAATACCCTAAATCATTGTTTTCTTAAAGACATCTCTGCCATCAAGAGAAGAGTAGTCCAAAAATAAAGGTTTTGGGAATTAAAATATATGTATGAATTAGTGATTGATTTTTCTTCTACTTAGGACAATAATGCTAGATTTTTGTTGAATGAGTAGAGTAATTATATTTCATTTTGGCTTTTAAAAAAACCAATAGCCCTTCTATTATGTAATGGATTGTATTTTGATGTTATTTGATGGCCCTAATTACCTTGCTTTTCTTCATAGGGCTGGCTTTTGCTATTCTTTCATCTGTGCACCCTGTTTTTGGTTTATATGGGTCTCTGTTTCCTGCCATCATTTATGCCATATTTGGAATGGGACGTCATGTTGCCACAGGTAATAATTCCTGACTATGCTTATGCTTCTCATCTTACTAATAAAAGGGAGTAAGAGTGATCCTTCATTACTGATTATATCTCAAATGCAGTGTCACTATTGAAAACCTCAGCCTATGTTAGGGCTAGATAGTTCTGTGTTTCAGATAGTCAATACACACTATAATTTATTGCAATACTATTGTGTAACTAAGGTTATTGCTATGGATTATTTGCATTAAGTTGCAAAAAGACCATGAAAGAAAGGAGAATATTCTGAATTTTTAATGAGATAAGACAACATAAACTCTTGAAAGAAAACAAAATAGATTATAACATTTAGTTACTCAAATATTGAAGAATATTTTACATGTATTTGATACTTGGACTAAATGATCTGCAATACCCTTTAATTGGTGTTCTGATCTTACCTGGCTCTGTATGATCACATAATATGTGAACAGTCATGCTTGTTCTGATAATAGAACAGGCTGGATTTTATTTTCTGAGGATAAGTCTCATTTGTTGTTAGCTACCTGCATGACTCTGGCAAAGTTGTAAATCTAGTTCTAAATGCCACTTTCTTGGTAGTAAGATGACCCTTTAACTTTCATAGAATTATAGTGAGAACTAGGAAAGTGATGCACAGTGTCTAATTTAGTACTTGCTTCCTAAGAAGATTTAATCAACTTATCTATTATTATTGTAAAAGTAATACCTTAACCTTAAATACTAATAATAAAACTTTTAAATGGAAGTATCTACAGGTGCATTTTTGTTTATTTTGTTCATCTTACCCTCCAAGTGTTACTGTTTTGGGTTATTTCTTCAGTGGTCACTTATGTGATTGATTGTGTTAGTTTCCTGTCACTGCTGCAACAAATTACCCAAGTTTAGTGACTCAAAACATCAAAAAGCTACTCTATGGTTCCAGAGGTCAGTAGAAATGAGTCTCACAGGGCTAAAATTGAAGAGTCAGTGGGATATTCCTTTCTGGAGACTAGGGGAGATACCATTTTTATGACTCTTCTATCTTCTGGAGGCACCCTGCATTCCTTTGCTTTCAGCACTCTTAACTATCTTCAAGGCCAGTGGTTGGCATCTTCAAATCTCTTCTGACTCTGATCTTTCACCTCCAACTTCCATATTTAAAGGATCTTGTAATTGTGCTGGATATATCTGAGTAATCCAGGACAATATCCTTATTTTAAGGTCAGCTCATTAAGAAATTTAATTCCATCTGCAACATTAATTTCCCTTTGCCATGGAACATAACACATTCAGAGGTTCGGGAGACTGGAATGTAGACATATTTAGGGGGCTATTATTTTGCTTGCCACACTGACACATAGAATTTGCTATAAAATAATGCTTTATTTATGTAAATTTAGCTTTTTATATCAGTTGACTTTATCATGAGGAAATTTCAATAAGTTATTTAAAGCACTGCAATCTAAAATATGCTCCATGAGTCAGCATTTTGTGGAAGCTAGTTGGAAAGGCAAAATCTTGGTTTCTATTTTAGAGTTTGTGAATGAGAGTTAGCATTTTCACAAGCTGTCCATCTTTTACACATTTTATACACACACACACACACGCGCACACACACACACGAGTCCTGAGCTACATAATGGAATTTCAGTCAACAAACAGCATAGACGATGGTCCCATATATGTTATTGCCTAGTGATGTCATAGCTATCTTAGTTTGAGTAATTACAGTATGATGTTTGCACAACAAAATTGCCTACAATGCATTTCTCAGAATGTATCCTTGTGATTAAGAAATGTGTAACTGTATATAAAATAAATGTTATATTATTGTATAGATATATATTACATGTATGCGTGTATAATATGCATGTAATATATATATATTTAACTTCCAAAACTATGCCCGTACCATCCATTAAGTATTTATTAAGAGCCTTACATGTTATTTTATCCTAACTTAACCCTTTGAAATAAACATTATTATCTATATATTTTACATGAAAAAGAAAAACCACAGACCCCAAAATTCAGAAAGTTTCTTGTAAGAGCACAGACTATAGTCACAGTTGCATGGTTTCCAACACAGACATGGCCAAATCTCAAGCTTAAGCTTTTTATTTCTTGACAGCTAGGTACTCTAGGATGAGCTTTTCTTTTGTGTTAGTGAAAAAGAAGATGAGCACAGGATAAATTAGAAATTCTTAAGGGCTTATTAGTTTTTAAAGTATCCTGCTTCATAATTTTCTAAATTTATTTTGATTTTTTCAAAACATTTAGATACGTTCTTAGCAAGAAAAAACAGGTTATTTATAGCTGACCCCACAAGTGTTTCCTCTCTTTAACCTAAAATAAAAGAAAAGTGCAAAACAAATTTGCTTCATAGATGTAATTATATTACGAAGATGAAAATATACTTGATAATACCTAAATGTATACTTACATCAACCATTTTACTTCCTAGGTAATTACTGTGTTTTACTGGTTGAATAGTTTTGAAATTACCATTTATATAAGATTGTGTAATTTACAAAGTATTTAACAAATTATTAACAGCTATAGCAAATTTGGGCCTCATAGGTAAATAACAGGTAATTCAAAATCCATATAATTTATCGACTTAACTATAGTTACTCTATGGCATCATAAATTCTAACAGCATTTTATTTTTGTATTTGTATTTCACAGAGCCAGCTGGACCTTCCTATTTAATTTTTAACCCAATATTTAGAGTTATTTATAATAAAAAAGGAAGATATGATTCTTTGTCCTCATGGAACAATAAATATGCAAGAGGGGTTACAGTAACTATTTTTTGACCTTCCTATGTTTTTAGACATAGAGACTAATTAAATTTTACCAAAAGTTCCTCCAAATAAATATTTAATATATAAACATATCTCTCAAATTATTTTATTTTACTTTTAGTATATCTGATAGGAGCATCCCCACTTCTACTTTACTAATAGATTTATGTTACTTTCACGAAGAAAAATTACTTTATCTGGGTTTTCCTTCTAGCCTAGGTATTCAGAATGCAATACTGAATTACCAAAGGCAACAACAAACTATGCTAGAAGCATCTTTTTAAAAAGCAAATAATTCATAAAATCACAATACAAAGACATTAAATGGGCTCTTTTGATCAACAATGTGAATTTTCTTATTTTTAGTTAAAATATAATTATTTAGAAAAAGGAATAAATTAGTTGACTATTTTTTATGACAAGAATAGAAAAAAGCAAAAATAAATTAAACTAGCAACTTAGGTATAAGTCCAATGGAAAGAGAATTGTTGAAGATAACAAATATGTGACAATTCATAACATTTATTCAGCTTCTTAATTAAAACCATTTTTGAAAGAGCAAAGTCTGTAAGAAATTTACAGAAAAGCTAGGAAGACTTTATTGTATGCTTTTTTAGAAGAATGAAAATAAGTTGACAATTATTTACTGAAAGCCTACAATCTAATAGGACTGATGATAAATCTTTTTATATGTGAAACCTGATTTAGTCTCCACTGGAATTTTGAAACTGTTTTATCATCGTTTAGAAATAAAGAAGGTGGGCCAGGGATTTAGCTCAGTGGTTTCACTGCCTGCTGCGGAAGCTCAAGGACCTGAGTTCGATCCTCGGTACCAAAAACAAAACAAAACAAAACAAAACAAAACAAAACAAAACAAATAAAGAAGGTGAGAGAAACTAGGTAAGTTGAGTAAGACCACAGGTAGCAGAGCTGAGATTTGAACTTGGATCTAATTCTGGTTTCCATATTCGCTTCCTGTTAGACACTTATAACCACATTACTATTAACCTACAAAGCGTTAGTGGCATTTAGGGGTTCTACCAGTAGGCTAAAAGCCCAACTAGGATAAAAAGTTGGCAAAATGAGCGAAAGAATAAAGAAATAATAATACAGTGGAGATAAAGACAAAGGTGAGGCTTTCAAGATAAGTAGAATATCCTTCCCAGATCTTCACAGAAACCTCAGCTCCTCAACTTTCTCTCCTACCATCCAATTTCCTTTTATTTTTCTTCAAATACCAGAAAAAATAGTTTTAAACTAGGAATTAACTCATTTATGTCATTATTTTCAATTCTACAGTTATTTTTTTCAGCAGATTCTGTAAAAATATTTTTCCCAAGCTCTCTAAAATATACATTTCTTTACTCTTATGAGTACCTGATTTGATCTCAAAACTATTCTATTGTAACATATCCTGAAAAATGTCTTATCAAGACAAGTTGAATGTTCCTTTCTAGCATTGCCCATCTGGTCACCAAAATCTTGTCTCTAATCAAGAGATCTTAGTTCTTTGATGTATTCTTTACTTCTTTATGATTAAGACAATGATCATGATGGTTAATATGTATTGATGATTTATTGAAAATGATCTAATTCACTAAGAACAATGTTCAATTTTCTATATTTATATACCATCAACTCTCAGAGAAGAACATAGATTAACACACCATAACAGAGCATTCTGAATTTAATTTTACTTAGATTTATCTGAATAGGTAATATTTATTAGGTGCTAACATTAAATGCTAACTCCATGACATACACTATATATAATTATCTCATTTATCTCATATCAATCCCTTGGGTGAGGAGTGTTATATTTTCACCGATAAAAGATCAAAGTGGTAGTTCTGGGGTTAATGCCACGTTCACTGAAGTATACAATCATCACATTGTTTTGAATCTGCATTACATCCTGCCCCTCATATTTTATAATACAGGATTGTGTGAGTCCGATTTCCATTGAGACCAGCTGCTATGGGAATCTTGTCTCTCTTTCTCTGTGTTGCTACATCCTTTGTGTTGGATTGTTTGTACCTTTTTTTCCACAAGGTCTCACTTTGTGAAAGCAATTTGTGTAGCAAATTAGGCCTTTAAGTAAAGAGTTAGGGGAAATGTTTGCATAATGCTGCTGTATGTTTCTCTTTTTTAAAATTAATTTTATTGGTACATTTAAGGTATATAGTATAATGCCATTCATCATTGGAAATTTGGACATTTACAT